TAGGGTTTAACCCTTAAAGAATTACCAAATTGTAAAGTTTTATGAAGGAAATTTCTCAAATTCTTTCAAAAGAATCCCAATTTTAACAATTCAAATCTAAAACATTATTTAACAAGTCTATATCAGAGTTTTGAAAGTAAAGTGGAAGTTTGAAAATCAAGTGAGACCCAAAATAATGAGTTTTAAAACTTAAAAATAGATTTAGTGCAGAAAGTGTCACGTGCGTCACGACTTACATCATGTGCGCCGCGATGCATTGCACGAAATTTGACAGCATCAATGCTGTCATTTGACAGCATGGGAAGAAAACTTTTGATGAGTCCCAAATCTCCGTCTGACATTCAATTGAGGTGGTTTCGGTGTCTACATAGAGCTTTCTCCTAGTTCTAAATAATGGTACTAGTTTCACATTCAAACTCATTTTCTATAAAAAAAAAGTTGGACACAAAAACCCATTATGACCACTTTTTCACAAAATTTCACAAATGGGGTATCCCAACTCAACCACACGTGCCAATAGCTTACACCAACCATCCGACCACACTCAATGGACTCTTGCAGACTCGTGCAACGTACCACACACAATAAAAAATGCTTATCTCATAAAATCACCACTTAACCCCTAATTTTTACAAGGGAAGAAATGTTGCACAAAATCAACAATTTCATTTCAAATTTCTCAAAATACATATGTTTCTACTTGCACAAGTATTTTGACCCTATTCACAGGTTCACAACCAAAACTCACTAACCTAGGGTACAAAATACACTAGTTATCCATAAAATCATACAAGTAGTGCATAAATCATGTCAAATAATCTTAGTTGGCAATTACATTAACAAATACACATGAAAGTAACAAAAGAGAGGCATATAGAGGATTAGTTCACAAATCTTAGGCCTTTGTATGTTTTCCCCGACTCGAATCCAATGAGTTAGGTCTTAAAAATATTAAGAATTGAGGGGTGAGTATAACTACTCAATAACCAAGTTTCACTTAACCCATACAGTTGCATATTAATTGTAAATAGATGTAACTAGGCAAATGAGCACAAATAACACATAACACTCAGCCACGGTTCACAAAACTAACAACCATGTGACTGAGCTTACCATAAAAAACTTTATCATGTTATTTAGCAAAAACATAACACAGGGTCGCAAAAATAACAACCATGCGCCCTCAACACATGCCGAACCACAAAACTAACAACCATATGGCCAGACTTATATGCATGATTATATGCCAAACTTATATCCTCCTGTTACCTTCGACACGAAACTGGTGGCTATTATGTGGCTACATCTTTCATGGACTAACCCAGCCTTTCACTTGTGAGGAGCTACCAGGCCAGGGTGAATTCACTCACTTATGCAATCCGGTTCCCCCAATACTAACAACCATGGGGTGTTGTACCCCTAATCTAGCCTCCTCATGAACCGATGGAGACCAGTTAGGTTCGAATTCCTTATAGAATAAGTGGGACAGTCCCGAATCAACCATGGGATAAGGACTACCTCCCAATTCCAACGGTCGATGCCAAGGTTAGTTCCTGATTCCAATGGTCATTGCCAATACCACGTGGATTTTCAACCAATCTACTCCTCTCCTTAGGTGGACTCCCGTCAATGATCATGCTATGCACATTTCTCACATAATATGCATTTTAATAATCAATTCATAATACATGAACTCACATAACTCAAATACTCCACAACTCAACACATAATATATTACAATTCTCTACCCATAGTAATAAATCACAATCAATTTCATAAAACACCAAGGGTGGCAAAATCAAGGTTTTCTTTCCAAAAACCATTTCACAAATCAAACACTTTGCCAATATGCATCACTAATTTAAATCATAATTCACATTTCACCAACACAATTAACATTCAACTATAAAGATTAAGTTTCCTCCGGTTACCTCAAACCTTTAAGAAGTCAAAGGTTTACCCCTCATTATACCAAATTTCCAAAGCTTTAACAAGCTCGAATGGTGCTAAAAATGAACCTCACGACATCCATACCATAAGAATATCATCATTGTCTAACTCTTGAAGCCTTATCAACATATAACTTCACACATTCCATTTTATCAACTCATAATTACTACCCATTCATACCCAATAGGCTCATTAAATTTCATTAATTCACCTTATCATTAACAACACCTCAAATTACCATTAATGCATATAAACCTCTCCCAACTACCTTATAAATATTAATTTTTGGATAATAAATGCTCCTATGGACCACCCACTTTCAAAATCATCAATGTGGTGTTCCAATACATTAAACAACTCTCATTATACTTATTTAAACTAATGGAATTGGATCTATACTCCTATGAATCGAAAATCCATCTCCCAAGTCAAACCCTACTATAAGTCATCATAAATAAACGAGAGAAAGAAGAAGAAGACATCATAAACTTATATTAGGTGTTTGGGAGCTTCAAAGCACTAACAATAGAAGCCAATACCGTGCCCTAGCAGAACCTAAGTCAAGCTCTTCGTTTTTCTCTCCTCCTTTTCTTCTGTTTTCACACGCAGAACGCAACTGATATATCAAAATTTTGGCCGTGGGCTACGACGCATGCTGCCCTCCACTACGACACATGGTATAAAGGAATTCATTATTCAAATTTGTCTCTGTGCACCATGGTGGACCAACCACACGCCGTGGAGTGTGGCACAGAGAACAATTCTTCACTTTTCCTTACTTTTTTTTTGCCCGGGTGGCCCGCCATTGATCCAGACCCACTTCTAAGGCTGAAATCACAACAATTATGTCAATTTAAGCCACTCTGGCCACATACCTCATTAACTCACTAATTACCCTTATTAGGTTAATAAACCATGGTTAAATTTTCCTGAATGTTACAGGCCATATGGTTGTTAGTGTTGTGACCCTTGCATGCTAAATAATATAATGTCACATGATTGCTAGTTTTGTGACTGAATGAATTACCTAGTTTAATGTGTGAATGCACTTTATTTGATTATGCCACTTGCATCATTATGATTAATTAGCATGCATTTGTATGGGCTAGATTAAACTTGGTTACTAAATTGTTGTACTCATCCCTCATTTAACATTTTACAGATACTAGTTCTGATTGAGATAAGGGAAAGTCATATAAGGTTTAGGAATTAAATTTCCTACTATAATGCCTCAATTACTTTTGATTAATGTGTAATTATCATGATATTGCTAATTAGGATGTTCATATTTTGTTATACTTGTATCATTGAATATTGAGTATTGAAATATATATTTTAACCCTTAATACATGTGGTATCTTTTTAGTTGAGATATTTGTACAAGGCCAAAATACTTATGTAAGTAAGGAGTAAGTATATTTGTGAATGATGGTGATTTAGATATGAAATTATATGATTTGGCTCCCCCTTATGTTTTGTGATTAAGGGTTTGAGCGGTAAAAATGTGATATGTGTGTTATTTGATTGTTGTGGTGTATTGCATGAGTTCATTATAGTCCATTGAGTGTGATTTAAGAATTGGTGTGAGCTTTTAGCACTTAGATTGAGTTTTGGATACTCTAGTTATATTTTGAGAGCATAAATGAGTGAATTTGTTTTTTTATGTTCAACTTTTGATTGGGAAATGATTTGAATGTGAAACTAGCGCTATTAGCTAGAGCTTGAAAAAAGCTTTCTGTAGACACCTAGATCACCTCAATCGAATATTGAACAGACATTTAGTGCTTGTCGGAGGTTCGGCTAAAAAATTTGCCATGACAGCATGTCATGGGTTTTGCATTTTATGCTGCAATGTAATTGTGCCATAATCAATTTTTTATTTTGACCCTAATTTAATGTTATCTTACCTTGTATGATATTCATACTTCCTGTATACATATTTTGCTTTGATTTTAGTTTTTTTAAATGATTTTATAGCATTTTAATTTTTAAAAACCTGAAATCCCATTTATGTAATTTACAAACTTAATAATTTATTTGGGTTATTCCTTGATTATCTCAAATTTTGAAGCTAACTGTAGGTTAATAAGGGAAACCTTACATTTGGTATTTTAAAAAATGGGTTCCATGTGAACCTAATTCCTCCAAAATGACATAACCATCTTCAACCCATGCAAGGATGAAGTTTCAAACTTTTCAATGGAAGTGATATCCCCCCCTTCTTTTTCCTTAAAAACTCCAACAATTAGTACTCTCAACTTTATTGTTTCCTCACTCTTGCACCCCTAGCAGCTAATCCACCATTGTCCTCTCATTAATCCTCTAGCCCTTCACCCCCTCAAGCTCCCTTTAAGCTTCCACTGCATGAGATTGTTGCTCGCAATTGTAGATTGTAATTTATGTTCATCATGAGTGGTGATTATATGGAATCATGTTCCGTAAGAACTAGGATCCTTGTGATTTAGAGGGTAAGTTTTTTTATTGTTATGAATATCACGTCAAATAGTCTTTTAAAAGAAGTTAAAAGTTTACAAGTATAAGAGATTCTCTCTTAACATGCTAATCTTTTATAATGTGTCCTCCTTTCAAAATTTATGCTTGTAACACTTATCTTTCTCTTTGAAAAGACCTGCATCCCAAACTCGCAATCTCCATCCACTTAGTTTAAAATACCATATCCTCCCTCTTCTTATTAGTCGATATATCATGTAACCTTACTTTAAAAATTATGTAAAGATTTCATAAATATACCAAACAACTTTTAAATATGGCTACCACCCTACTTTGCTTCCACTTCTAACTTCCTTTTTTTTTCAAAAATTTTTAGAATATCAAATTAGACATTAATTATAGTTTATATTACTAGTTGTGATGCAAACTACATAGTTTTTAAGATAATACCCAACTCAACTTAGCTCAATATAGTTCAGCCTGATCCTGGCCTGCCCGACCCAACCCATGAATAACCTAGTGTTGCACCCCCCCTTACTCAAAAGTGCACAATTTCTCTGGGCTCCACATCAGTTAATCTAATTTCTCCCACTCCCACCCCCACCCCCTTCCCTGCGACGCTGAGGCTGCATTGACTTGATTAAGACAACGACAATGGAGCCAGAAAAAGGCACCGCCGGACGCGGGTCCGGACCCGAACCGGGAAACTTATACTACCTCGGTTTATGCACGTCGCTACTTCGTCTTCGTAAGTTCTCCAGATGCCGCGAGTTCGCTCTCAAGATCCAAAGATCCGACCCAGACATCTCCGACACCGTCGATCGAATACTTGCAATCACCGATGTCCACCTCGCAGCCGAGAGGCGCCTCGACAGCCACTTCGACTGGTACGCTATTCTCCAACTTGGCCGTAGTGACTCCGGAAACCACCAACTCATACGGAATCAATTTAAGAGGCTTGCGCAGCTCTTGAACCCAAACAGAAATGAGTTTGCATCCTCAGATGAAGCGTTCGTGCTCGTGCGCGACGCATGGCGCGTGCTTTCGGACCCAGAAAAGAGAGCCGAATACGAGCAGGCGATTGGCGATTTGGTACGCCAAGAACATTGCAAACAGAGTAGTGAGAGCAAGAAAGAGGGGTTTGGCGTTGTACCCAGAAATGGGCGTAACGTGAATGTAGGTAAACAGAAAGCCTCATTTTGGACTATGTGCCCTTATTGTTGGTCTTTGCATGAGTACGAGAAGATATACGAAGATTGCTCTCTGCGGTGCCCGAAATGCAGGAGGGTGTTTCAAGGGATAGCGGTGAAGCCTCCGACAAATGACATGTTAGTGAAGGGGAAAGACCAATACTATTGCTATTGTGCACATGTTCCTTTAAGGTATCCACCGTCGCAACATTCAGAGGTGAAGGGAAGCAAGTTCAATATGCAAAAGCCGTGGAGCATGGAAGGCTGGATCAAGAATGGAAAATCTTCTGTTGATAGCCCTGAGGACGATGACGTTGACGATTCATCAAAGAATTGCGGAATCGGAGAAGAGGAAAGGGTTTTGCGTGCAGAGCAAGCAGGAACTGAGGGATTGTATGGAGATTTGGGAAATGGGAAGCGGCGGATGAGGGTGAAAACTGTGGCTAGAAATACAAAGAAGATGACCGGGAACAGGATGAGAAACCGGGCATATATTTCACGGGATAGTGATGCTGAATCGTTGGATTTAGATGCAGAAGATGGTGACTGAGTTGGAAATTGCAGAAGGAGAATCTGATGGTTTTGTTAGTGTACGATATGCTAATTGATGGAAGGGGTACAAAAAGGTGAGGACTTTAGTAACTTTTTGAGTAGTCCTAGCACGTGTGGCAGATTTCAGTGTTCTTGGCTTGTGTTCTGCTCACTCTGAAGGAAAAAAGAAATCCTAAAGGTCCATAGGATAGGAGTTGATAGTGTACAACGTCCAAGAGGAAAAGAGGTATTGCGTTGTCTTGTATTTAACGGTTTCTGCAATACCAATTTTGTTCTACTAATGAAAAAGTGATGTAAATGTTTGGTTTCCTTGGAGATAATATGTGTCAACTGAGCATAATCTGTGTTTTTCATCCAGAAAAGAAAAGGAAAAAAAATGTGTAGACTGGACATTATCTGTTACATATTGTGGGTGATTTGGTTTTTCAATTCTGTTGTTTTCAGAAGCTAGGCTTAATTTTCGGAGAAGATGGATGTTTTTCTTTTTCGAATACTGTTAAGAAACTAAGCTGCTAGGAAATTTGGCTCTTGTCTTCAGTTTATTCTGAACATTGTTCATCTTGATGATGCTCAACCCGACGTTGCTGTTGCTTGTCGATAGGTTATAACGGAAGTCTTGTCGTGCATTCTTGCTTACTTATCATATTGAACTTGCCACGGTCGTGTATTCTGCTGATTGCTGAATTTCTTTCTTTGAGATGAGTTATTAGACTGTTTTGAATCAAACATGTCCAAGTCTAGTACAACTTCAAAATATCTGATCTGGTACTCATGATACCATTATCAAGACATATCACATAAACAGCTATGAATGAGGTTGGGAAAAAAAGAAACAACCCCCCCCCCCGGGGGGGGGGTGTGGAGAGAACCGGAGCTTCTCTTGACTATATTGCCTTTTCTGCCTTATTATATGAAATATCCTCTGATTTCAGTATGCCTTTCTTTGAGATGTTCGTGATTTGATTTGTGGCTTCCTTAGCCAATCTCCCCCCCCCTCCTTTTCTCTCTCTTCCTAATTCGAAGTTTAGATATGTAATTTTTTTACTGTGATGAATATAAACTGGAAATGCGTAATTTGGTGAATGCCTGAGGTGTCTCTACCTTTTTTTTTTTTGCCAAAGAAGTGTCTCTACTAAATGTGTTGAACCTGAAACAATTTTCTCTTCTCAAGACCAAGATGATGAGCTAAAAGAAAAGACCCTTGAGTGCTTACTGCAACAACAACAACAACAACAACAACAACAAGCCTTTATCCCACTAGGTGGGGTCGGCTACATGGATTGCAAGACGCCATTGTGCTCTATCATTTATTAAGCTTTTAGAAATATTATTAATTAAGAGATCACGTTCAACAACTTCCAAGAGTGTTCTCTTAGGCCTTCCTCTACCTCTCTTAATCGGACTCAAAGTTATATGTTCCACTCTTCTCACTGGTGCCTCCCTTGGTCTTCTTTGTACATGCCCAAACCATCTCAACCGATTTTCTATCATTTTTTCCTCAATAGGTGCCACCCTCACTTTTTCGCGTATGTGCTCATTTCGAATTTTATCTTTACGTGTATGTCCGCACATCCATCGTAACATTCTCATCTCTGCTACTCCAACTTTATGCTCTTGCTGTCCCGTTAGAGCCCAGCATTCACTACTATATAACATTGCCGGTCTGATAGCAGTACGATAAAACTTTCCTTTAAGTTTATTAGGCACCTTACGGTCACAAATAACTCCTTTAGCTTTTCTCCAATTAAACCACCCAACTTGAATTCTATGTGAAATATCTCCACTGATTTCGCCATCATTTTGAATAATGGCTCCCAAATATCTAAACTTTTTCACTTGAGGTGCTTACTGCATGGCCGAAAATCCTGAAACTGATGAAACTTGGTGGACATTCTGGTCATGCGTTCAAAAACTTCAAAAACAAATATTATAGATTTAATTCATAAATCCAATGATGAATCAACCAGTTACTTCATCAGCCTCTAGATGCGCATGAGTAAAGCTTGACGACTAGATCAAGAGCGATATGCAGCCTACAAGACTAGCAAACATTGTATGTCACGGATGTCTGAACCGATTAATTGTCAATGTGTGTGAATTTTTAAGAGTCTGTGATTTATGAATGTATACAATTGTTCAGTTTTCTTGAACTCTTAGGATATTGGGTTTAGCATATCATGTTTTCACAGGCAGATCACAAGTATATATTGCAACTTATCTGCAGGAAGATATGGGACATATCAAACTAATACCTCGCAACATGTGTGAAACTTGTATATAGCATATTTTTGTAATTGCTGGAAGGTGTCATGAACTGATGTACGCGCAACCTATATACTGTATGTGCCCTGCATTAAGAAAAAGAAGATCAGAAAAACGAATTTGGCTTTTTTTTTTTGGTAGGTGACACGAACAGTTAATCTAGTTATGACCAAGATTCTCAAATTAAGTTTAAAATCTCCTCACTTTTAAATGCTGATTGAGTTATGGCGCGATCATCATCTGATTTGTTATTAATAGAAAGAAAGCAAATTCCCCTAATAGTATTAAATTTTGATATATTTTGCGTTTACAATCAAATCATTAATTCTCATTAATCATAGACTACTATCTAGATAAATTTTGGTCTGGCTATTCAAGGTAAAACAGGCTCCCAATCTTGTGCAAATTCGCATGCTTTTTAGTTTTTACCTCTTTTTATCGCTGCATATGCAATCTGCTGCAGAAAAAAAATTCAAATTCGATTCAATGGTCTTACTTCGGAAGGTACATGGTCCCCATTAAAGGATTTCACGAATTTTATTGTTTCTTAGTTAAAATTGTCTCCTCTCTTTTTTCCCTTTGAAGTTTTGTTTTATTTTACTTTTACTAACGTATTTAGAACAGGGAATGCAGATTCAAAATTACTATAACTCAGAAGCATTCAAGTCAAGAAGCAGCTTTTCTCAAGGAACCATCTCGGAGACAAACAGAAACTCGTTCTTGATACCAAAATCAAAGGCAGAGATCAAATTACTCGCAGCTAAAAAACACAGCGAAGCAGAGAAGAGACGCAGGATGCGAATCAATGGCCAATATGCCACCCTTCGCACCATCCTCCCCAACTTGGTGAAAGTGAGCAGCACTTAACCTATCAGAAAATTGTTAAAAGTGAATTGCAAGAATTACACGAAAATTTAAAGTATCAGTGATTTCACCGCATGAAACTCTCACTTCGGTGAGTCAGCTGGTACATCACTGACGAATTTCTCCAACCTATCTTGCATTTTATGCATTCAGTTGGTCCGGTCATGAAAGTTAAAAGTTAAAACCGACACCAGCAGCTAGAGGCTGCAATGAATTTTACTTTATGAATTTCCATTCAATAACTCAAACTTCTAATGAAATAGTTTATGAAATGGTGTCAACATTTCTATGGTATCAAAATTCATTCAGTAGCTTAAGCATTTGATTGAATTTGATTCGGGGTATAGAAATTCCTTATTCTGTACTTGCCTGGTGTTTATGAACAGGTGGACAAGGCATCGGTACTGGCTGAGACTATAAGGCAGGTAAAGGAGCTGAAGAAGAATGTATCCGAATTGGAAGCAATTAGTGCTAATAGTTCAGGTGAGATCACAGTGTTTCCCAGTGAAGTAGACAAGTTGAAATTGGAACACTGTAAAGATGAGGAGGGTCTTATGAAGGCGACCTTGAGTTGTGAGGATAGGCCAGGGTTGATGTCAGCCATGACAAGGGCTCTTAAGTCTTTGAGAGCCAAGGTGGTAAAGGCTGAGATGGTGAATGTAGGAGGGAGAATCAGAGAAGTGTTATGGGTTCAGGGCTTGGAAAATGGAAATGAAGGGATGGGTGTCCTGAAGAGGACTCTGAAGGTTGTCATGCACAAGCCAACTCTCAAGATGCATCGTCTGACTCGGTAATTGTGACCTTTCAGTGTTGTAATTTATAGGAGTATTTAGAATGACTGGATAATCAATTTTATTATAGTGCCAGGATATAAGCATAGGACAATAATCACTCTGTACGTGTATTCTGTAGAAGAGAGGCCATGTAAGGTAGTGCTAAGTGCTAACCATAGCTTGCTTGCGTTTCCTCAGCACAGGATAACAATCACTCTGTACGTGTATTCTGTTGAAGGGAGGCTATATAATGTACTGCTAAGTGCTAACCATGGCTTACTCAATCAACATCTTATCTGCAACCTTTCACATTCAATCCAGATTCACGGTGTGGTTAATGAAAATTTGAGTTGTCCTTTTTTCCTTCTTGGAACAACTATATTACTAATTTTTCTTTGCCTTCTTCCCATGCCCTCAGGCCTTCATTGATAAGCTAATTTTATTTTGTTGTACTATTTCATTTTCTTTAATTAAAAGTTGTTTTATTTTTATTTTTTTAAAAAGGGCTAACCATGGCTTATTCATCTTTCCTCCATTAATTCTGATCATGTTTAATGTTGTTATATTTATATAGTCATTCCTTTATTTTATTTTTGTTTTTATTTTTTTTAAATAAACAAAAGTATTTTTTTCCTTTCAAAATTATTATTCAAATTTTTTGTTATATATTTTCATTCTGCATATTAAGCAGATTTTATATAATTTTTTAAACACAAATTTTTATCTCCCATTCTGTGGAAATGAAAAATAAGACCATGCAAGTCAGAATAACTCAGTTACATTTGCAGGCTTAATCACAAGGTTGAAATAAAAATTGTAGAAGCATTTATTTTAAAATTCTCCAATAGAATATAACATCTGTGAAGATTCTCTCTCTCTCTGTTCTTTTAACTAAAAAATTAAATATTTCAACTTAATATATTGTATTTGATTTAGTAATACCGAACTTAAACTCTGTTGTAGAATAATCTATCAAAAAGTTTTGGCTTAGGAAATCCCCAAAAGTTGGTTGCTTCTGGTAATTTCATATTCATTAACAAGATTCAAAATTTTTCCAAGTCACGCACTATAAATCGTAAACAATGCAACTTGTTCTTAAACTCCGTGCAATGTATTCATTGTATGCCTAGTTGTATGAGGAATACATTGAGTTCATGGACATCGGACATTCCAACGAATGCGTGCAAGGCAGACGGCTTTTTCTGGGACCGAAATACAAATTAGTGGTTGAAACTTCAAACGGTACAGTTTACACTGTAAATATCAAATATGGAAAGCAAGGTTACTCTAAAATTACCAGGCTGCTTATAATATCAGGCAAAAAGATTGAAAACTCTATATTGCTCTGAGAACCTAGCCTATCGCTATTGACTATTGACGCTATCTGGGTCACCTTCCTGGATAAATCATCCACATTCGGAAAAGCCACATAAGGATTGGCCTCTACCAAAAATTTACCAACTTTAATCTATTTGTATTGCACACGTCATTAATTACAGGAGGTGTATCAGTGAAACAGCTCAATTGCCAGCGCAAATTCTCTCAAAAAGGGGCAAAATGAAAGGCATTCATTTGCTGAGCTTGTAGCTTTTCAATTCTTGTCATCTTCATTGATGCTATTTCCACAACGAGAGAGAAGAGTGAGGACACATTCTCACCCCTTATAAAAGACCAGATTTCTGCTACAATTGGCTTTCAGCGCATCTTCCAGTTTCTGAGCCTGATCAAAATCAACTTTAAAAGTAACCATGGTTGTGCCATCTTTACCAGTATCATAATCCTGCTTGATGCCCTCAACATTAAAAGACTGCAGCTGAAAATGACAAACCATTTGTAAGCAACATCAAAGTGATACTTGTCTCAAGGCAGCTCACATCTATTTATACACAATAACAACCCCTTGATTATCTTGAACCGCAAGAGGGAGGGAAGCAGAACACCATGCAAGAAAAGGAAGGATGAAAAGAAATCCAAATATCAAGCTCAAAATAGATAGGGGTATGATAACTTCACAGCAGGGAGTAGTCATAATGGTTTATATACAAACAAATGAAGAGAAAATCTTTTTCATCCCTGAGTCTTCTTTTTTCGGCACTGCTGCACTAAGTTTTTTCATCAACCTACTTAAAGCAGCATATACATAAACAAAGGGAGACACTAATATGCATCTAAAAGAACTTACCTGATGGTAGACCACTCCCAAAAGGTCAAAAGGAACCTCCACGCCCATTGGCACCTAAATTTCACAAAAATGACCACATAAGAATATTGGGATCTTATTTCTTAATAAAAAACGAATAGTGAGATGTGGAAACTTCCAACAGGCAGAGCTCCTTAGCAAAGAACTACCTTAGTTTTCACAAGGCATGTTACGGCATTTCTCAGGCATTCTGATGCAACTCCACCATAAGCCCTGACCAGGCCCCCAGTGCCTAATTTGATACCTCCAAAATACCTGGAAGTTAATATACATAATATTACATGTTATATTTCAAATCCAATTGCCAAAATAAGAAAATGACTTCAAGAAAATTGTGTGTAAGATAAGAGAGCTTCTTTTTAATGGCATGGTCAAGGAGGAAAGCTGCAAAATGCAAAAGGCCATTAAACAGGGCAAAGTCAACATACTGACATTGGATCTTAATGGTTTTATCTGACTTAATTCACACTAAACAGAGGTCAGGTAACACCAAAACTCTAGGTCTATAATCCTATATAAAGGGATATTGAGTACGAATGAACTTGAGCGAAACTACACCCTGGTAGCTCCAAATTATCCTTGCTTAGTTTTAAAACAATAAGTTTGGCAAGTAAAAAGCTAGAGAGCTTGCTTGGGCGTATATGCAATGAAGTTTAGAGAAAGTGATACCAACAGAAACTAGTGAAAAGTAGAAAACAATGTTACAAAGACTTTAACCTGATCACAACCACCATTACTCTGTCAATGCCAGAGGATTCGATAGCAGAATGTATTGGTTTCCCAGCTGTACCTGAAGGTTCACCATCATCATTAGAGCGGTATAGATCTCCCACCTGTAAATGAGGGGAAACCGGTGAAACCCCAAAAAAAAAAAAAAGGCAAGAAAGAAAAGAAAAAAGACACAAAGATAATCATGAGAAAACAGGACCCAACTAATGCACATCACGACCTCAGAACCTCTTCTTTGTCGAAGTTAGCACACGACATGACTCAAGGTAATTAGTGAAAATGCTACATCAGAAACCGAACTCCTAATCATTTTATTCACGTGATACCAATGAATGAACAAGGATAATATAATCAGCCACCCCGAGGCGGAGGCATCATTGAACTAATGGCCAATTTTCCAAACTGAGCTGAAATCACACCCAGTCTCAAGGTAGCAGCTAGAAGTCGTCTCCAATTCTGAGGCCACAGGATGGGCAAAGTAAAGATATGACGAACTTAAGGCATATGATTATATCAAACTCACAATCTTCCCTTCGGTGGATTATTCACCTAAAAGGCAACAAGCTAAACGAGAGAAAACAACATATGCATACAAAATTCTATTTGGATTAATCCAACAAAACGTTTACCTTATAAGCCCAGCAATTGTGAGTAGCACGGGGATCCCGGACCTAACAATCACAGAAGAAAATTAATAGACAGCATGCTATTTCAATGAATTACCCATACGCTAAATCAACTCATAGAAACAGAAGAAATGAATTTAATAGAGAAATCAATTACAGCTAATAAAAAAAAGACCAGAATAAATGAAAAGGGGCTAAATAAAGAGAGGACCTGGGAAAGGAAAGACATGGCGCATTGCTCATCTGAAATGGGGCCAGCAATGGCAATAAATTTGCTTTTCTTGATCTCCTTCTCGAATGTGACCCTCTCTTGGACAGTGGTGAAGGCCCCTGAATTGCTGTGGCTTGTGCTGGTCATGGTGATGCTCTTCGCTCTAGAGAAGACGACGAGGGAGGCGTAGAAATGGTGATTAAGCTTGAGGCGTTGATGGTAACTGGTTATAGTTACTGCCGCTACCATCTATACGGTTCCCTTCAGAAAATTTCTACGTTTCTTCTCAACCTCATTGAATGATCGGAAGCTTGGGCCTTTCATGCCAGAACCCATCTTTACTCTTCAATGCCTCACGTTCTCTCTCTCTCTCTTTTTTTTTTTTTTTAAGTAGAAACTGAAACTACCAATGCATACTAAAACAAACCTCTCATATTCCACCAACACATAAAGTTGGGGGATCATCAAAAGAACAACAATCACAATAAATCTCATGGGAGAGCTTAGTAAGGCGATGAACGCACTTGATAACTTTTCGATTTTCCCCTGTTGTTTTGAATGAATTATATGTACCAAATAATTAATATTTAAAATGGATAAAAATAGTATTCTTCTTATCTGCACCTACAATTATAAATTATTTTTAACAAAATTACATGAATCAATAGATAAATACACACTTGTTGTCATAACAAATGAAATTTAATTCAATATTTAAACATTTTAAAATTGGAAAGTTAGAAGCTTATGTATTAGTCGCGTTTTGAAATAAGAAATATAATCATTCAACCAAAAAAAGAAATATAAAGAAACGAATAAATGGATTAAAAACAAAATATATATCAAAATTACTGTTCTTTTTATCACTTTGTGCGTTTTTGGAAGACAATTTAGCTGTAAATCCAAATTAATTTTCATTGGTCGGGGGTCCTTTGTCATTCTGCTACTACAACAACATGGTGGGCTGGGGACCCAAAAAAAAAAAAAACGGGGAAAGGAGAACGAAAAAGAATCCAAAGAAGTTATTCATGAAGAGATCGGTTGACCAAAAAAAATATTCATTTTCACTGTACCCATGGACATCTCAAATGGTGATTACTTCTATCTCAACCCAAACTCAATAAAAACGTTTGAGCTGATGTATCCCTACTGGTTCTTCTCACATGTACACCAGAATCTGTCAATGGTTAGCAGAGACATATCTTTTAAGGTCACTCCCCCTACTGCCACCATGACTTCTGTTCCTGTTAGCATGAAAAACTGTATTATCTTCTAATTCTGAGTCCTGCCTCGGCCTCATACAAGGATCATTACTACCCACTAAACAATCTGTGCCCCAATTTTCACAGTATGTGACTGAATTTGATGAGAGCCCATAGCGAGTGTCCCAATTGTGTGCCATCTCACCAAATATGTAGTCGGAGAACTCAGCACTATTGCCAGAGTCCTTGGTACTAGCCGTACTACAAGAACTTGCGTCCGAGGAGCTGAAAAGGGAAGAGCTCTCGCTAGAAGAATCAACTATTGCATTTCGTTTCCCGTAGGGGAATCTCCATTCTTCCGGATATACAAACTCGTTGCTCATGGGACCTTCACTGGCATTCCGGTGAGGGTGCTTGCCTTGCTTAGGCTGTGAGGTGGGAGGAAATCCATTTCCAGCCATGGAGTTGGATCTAGTTTTAGAAGCAGGAATGGCCTCCAAGTTCCTTCTCTTGTACTTTCCAGAGGAGATTGCATTGCTAGTTATTGACACTGGGGGCTTTGGAGAGTGCCTAGAGATATTCGAATTTATAACCGAGTATTGCTGCTCAGAAGAACTCTTCAGAATAATAAGAAAATTACAGAACATGGCAAAAGGTCATATTACCTTGCATAAAGAAGCATGTATGCCCTTTCTGATAAAACTGTATGCAGTTCAACGGGTGTTACCTGAACAGAAGCGCAAATGATATCCTCAGTATACTAACAAACGCATCCTTCACCAGTTGTGTGTGAGTACATGAATACAAACACTACATTGTATTGTCAAATGAAAGGACAAGCATGTAGGAGAGCCAAAACTGAAAAGCTAATGACCACATCATTTATGTAATCTAATAATTCATTCGAGAAAGATAGAGCGAGAGAAATTGACCATGCTGTCATCAATCCTAAACCATTCGTCCCGAAAGTTCTTCACATAGCAGACATAGTGGCCTGAATATGCAGCATTCATGATATCCAAATGGACAACCACAGCATAAAGGCTGTATAATGGAGATTTATCTTTTGTTCCACTCATATACGGAGCCAAATTCAGAACCTCAGGGAACTGCACCGTCTTATTCAACTTCTCAAAATTACCAGACTGCCAATATGGACAGAAGAATAAGCATGACCCCACATAATAAAAAGCCACCATAAAAATACACACACACACAAAAGATAGTATAAAATACATAATAAATGACCCATCAAACTTAATATCAAATGTGTACCTGAAATCTTTTTAATACAATCGTAAGAATATTTGGTGCCTCCAATACTGTCAACTTCTTCCTGGCTTTCTCGTATGATTTACATCTAAGTAGAAAGAAAAAATAGATTACTCCTTAAGATATGCTCCTTTTACCAAAGGATAGGAATGCTGAACATAGAATGAGAACATAAGGAGAGAGGGGAGGCTATAGTAAAATTGCGATAAAAAGAGTAATAGTAAAAGTAATTACTATGGTTGTTAAAAACGTGAAACCAAGCATTGGAGTACGTCAACTTGAACACATTTGACAGTTGTAACTTGTACGGAAATAAACAAACCTCCCACAGTGATACTTGTTGTCTTTCTCCAAGATTTCTGGTGCAGTAAATTGTCCAAGAGCATCCTCCAGTGTTCCAATGTCCCCATCAATTTCAACAGTAAGATCCATCATTCTCTCATACCTCTCAGATTTACCAAGGCACCTTAAGCACTTTATCTGTAATTTACAGCCAATAAATTTAAATATTTAGGAAAATCATTCCTTTCTCCCTTGATAAAAGTTGGGAGCAGAAAGAGCTTGAGCAGACTCAGATAGGAAACCACCTTAGATCGAAGATAGCCCCCAAAAGTGTACCCAACTAAGGTTGTTTCTTCTGCCAATGGAGTTGAGACGCCAGCTTCCTTAAGGCAAATGGATTGCATGGTCTCAACTGCACACCTGCCATTTCAACAATTTATTGTGTTGTGTAAAAAAAATTGTAAAACAAGATTGGCATTTTTCTTACACATGCCAAGGGGAATATGGAAAAAATCAGCTCATGCAATTATTTGGCTCACCTCAAAAATTCATGGGCATCTTCCTCCTTTCCATGTCCAAGGCGGCTTCCAATCTTGTGTATTTTAGATAATATCCCAATGGGAGAAAGTGGATTGTTCCCTTCTTTGGCCTTCTGAATTAAGTATTCAAATTCACAGATAAAACACCATCCATTCTTCTGACCTAAGGCAAACATTGAAAAAATAAATTAACTAAAACTCAAAATAAATGTGCAAGTTAATTTGTGAAGAGGTCAAGAAAGGGGAACTTGCATTGTTTGGAATGTAGCCCATGAAAGAAATAAGAAGTTAATGGCCGAGTATATGCCAAGCACTGGAGAACAGCATTAGCGTAACAGCTGCAGAAAACTCACATTATTAGCAAGAAATGTGTTGTCAGAAAAACAATCACTATGCAAACTAACACTAGATGTATCCCCCTTTCAACTACATAAAAACAGAATATAGAATCCAATATTAAATACCAGCAAGAGGCCACTGGGAGAAGAACAGAGATTGAAAATTAAATAAAAAATGAATCACCCTTTTACAACAAACAAAAGAATTAGCCACAGCAAATACCACATTTTAAAAATATGTTCCCACAAATTTCCTTAAGGCATACTTGCAAGTTGCAAGTGTACAAATTCTTCCAGATCAAGTATCATACTCATTATATCTTACATTTCAAGGGATCTTGCAAGAAAGCAATCAGGAAAATATTAAAAAAATGATGCCTCTAAAACAGAGTAGAATCAGACTCCCAGTGCTCCCTTGTCCTCCTTCCTCTCGCTCTAATTCTAAATATGACAGTAACATCTCATTAAGCACACAAACAATGGAAAGCCAGAGGAACTCTACAACACCTGTTCCCACAGTTTGTAAGGCCGAAGGGGTATAGCTCCACCTTGTTATAACAGTAAAGTTCTGTAAAGAGTTCATAAGGAAAGCCCATCTGCCAAGACAGATAAAAGTACAAAGCTCGTAAAATTAACAGACATAAAATTGTCAATATAAGTGCTATGTAGTCCAGATATCTGGTAAACATGTTCTCAACCTCATTTTCAATGGATATAAGACTAGACGCTGAATCTCTGGAGCTTTTAAACTGCTGGACCACTTTTCGCATGGATGTTTTCAAGCCATTACGAACATTTTGCTGTAGGTTTTGCATACCTCCCCCTTTTGCCAGCAAGGCACGATAATCTTCAGACTTAGTAGCCAATGATAGAATATGGGCACCATTTGGAGATATTTTTATGTCTCTATACTTGGATAAACGTGATTCTTCTACTTCGTTATCAGCTATAGCCTCTGAATTTGAATTCATGGGAGGCAAGGGTCTGCCCTTAGAGGCATCTGTTGCTGATTTCTCAACAGTAGAAACTTGTCTTTTGTGCACATGGCCAACAAAATTTGCTGCTGCATCATGAGATTTGTCGGTCTTGATTTTTGGCAGTTTTGATTTAAAAGAAGTATCATCAGAAACATGACAAGAATTTATCTTATTTTTTTTGCTTGCACTAGAATGTTTAGTTTGAATGTTCACTGAACTTCTAGAGTCTATGGGAAGAGAGGTTGTCAGCACTGTCTCAACAATATGAGAAGAAGCCTCAGGCATATTATGACATACAGGTTTAGCCAATCTGCTATGAGAATCAACGTCAGATGATTTGCTTTCAGCAACAGATGGATTAAAGCTGGAATAAAAATTATTGGAAGATGCAGTACCAGCACATGTTCCTTCAGAGCCTGCAGAGGGCCTAACTGCATTACATACCATAAATGATGCTTCACAAAACATAATACAATTTCAAAGCCAAAACCATTACCACAGGCATCAGACTCTGTCAGTGATGCTGCAACCCTGATAGAATTACTTTCCTCTTTGAGTGGCACAGAGATAATTGGAGGAGAACATTCATCCTTGTGACCTTGTCTCCAGTGAATAATTTGACACTTACCAGAACTACAATAAAGCATGCTCGTGAAAATGAAGAACAACTATGCCGATAAAATAATATGGTGAAAATTATGGCTCCAGACATGTCAATATAAATGGCAGAGATATAGGCGGAAATTACAGATGTTAAGGAATGTAACCATGTCAGGTCATTAGGACAGGACATAAAACGGTAAGAAGCGTGGCCCAAGATGACTTGCACGTAAATTTGAAACAAAACACCCAAAAGATTATTTTTTTTATCCTCAAAATATCCGTAGCTATGTCTGTACACAAGCAAGGGGAAAGTACAATAGCTCAAAATTAAAGGAACATACTCGTTAGTGCATTCTTTAGAGTTCTCAGTACAAATAAGGGCATAGGACCAACCAGTCAAAGAAGAAAGACTGCAAGGAGAATCAAGGCACCTCGCATCAAATAGACAACCACAGAATAGAACTCTCAAGCCCAGATCTCGATAATGCTGATAGTTTGATATGAAAAATTATTTTTTTGGAATGAAAATGGTGATACAAAAATCAAGAGATAAAGCAGCCTAGACTAAATCTAGGGAATCTAACCTTTCATCATCCTCCACCTTAACACAATAAGGTGGAAGATGATCAAAGGTGAACCAGCTACCCAGAACAATGTGTGTACGGCAACAAGGTGTTCCTTTAGAACAATGCTTCTTCTAATAGCAACACTTGGCAACACATGCAGCAGATGATTCATGCAAATTAGCATTGCTCCGCAAAAATAAGATCCAATTCCGCCCATCTCCTTTCCTAATACAAGGACAACAATGAGTCTTGTCCCACTAGGTAGGGCCAGTTACATGAATTATATGATGCCAATGTATTCCGTTATTTATGAAGCTTTTAGAAATATATTGTTAATTAAAAGATCTTGCTCAATGACATCTAAAAAGTATTCTCTTTTGCCTTTCCTAATCAGTAATTACAAAAATTCACATCCATCTCTTCCACTTAAAATCTGTGATCTTGAGGTTAAGATATCCTATGAACGGAATAAAGAAGTTCCCGCAAAAGTAAAGAATTGCAAATGGCCACACAGAGACACACGGTCAAGCATTACTGAAGTTCAAAATTGAAAGTGACAGAGACTCAAGGAAAGGGAACGAACCAGTAGCGAACAGCCTTGCACTTAGAGCAGCGCATGGTAGTCGGGGAATAACAGACGGCACATTGATACCCACAAGAAACTGGAACAAAACTAGAGTCCGCTGAAGCCTCCATTGCTGCGATAGCGGCCTCTTGAGACGCCATATCGACGAGCCTTATGATCTCCTCTTTTCTGACCTCTGCATTCCTCCACATGGGACGAATCACCAAAAAAGTGACCAACAAGAAGACATACAGTACGCCCTGAAACCCTAATAGCTCAAGGATGAACATATCTTTTATCCAGCACCCAGGATCAGGCCAGAACATAAAATGCAGAAAATGGCAATCTTGCTATACATAGATTTGTCGAGGACAGAGGTGGCAGCGGAGGGGAACAAACTAGAGACGCGACGGTGGCGGGTGGCGGAGGAGGAGGAGGAGGAGGGAAAAGGAGGGGCAAATGGGGAAATTGGGAAGGGAAATGGGAGGAATGATAGAGGTGAGAAAAGAGTAGGGGCATCTGGATTCTTGAAACAGAGAGGAGAAGGAAGGGCGGGGGCGCGTAGAGTGGGGTGAGAAAAATTGGGCTTGGCTCTAAAATTGATTTTAGCGTAAGACTGAGACGGTCGATTGCGAATATACGAGAGACAGCTCCCTTTGTCGTTTGTCTTGTCGTGGTAATTGTGAAGACATCTTTTACACTGCAACTATAACTGGGAAATGCACAGGCGTTGAGCTATGCCGTTTGGACAAGTCATTTTGTGTGTGTGTGTGTGTGTGTGTGTGTGTGTGTGTGTCGAGTCATGACTCACGCCTGGATAGAAAAAAAATTGATTCTTTTTAACCATTCTGGTCAGAAAAATATGATTTTTTTCCGATCCATGATCTTCGAATCCTCGACACCATTTGACAAGCTTCTACGTCGGACAGCATCTGGTGTGACAAGTTTTTTTTTTTTTTTTGGCCATTAATAAAAAGGAGCTTACAGACACTCATATTCAGACTCCAATCAAACGAACCAAGACTAACAGAACAGCGACGTTTAAAAACCATGACGACCCAAAAAAAAAAAACTTAAAAGAGAATATTAAAATGAACGCCTCAATATTGCAACGGCAACAACTAATTCCCTGCACTCCACTGATCATAATAACAGCTAAAGCCTGAAGGGATGGATGCCTGGTAGCTCGAAGATTTGCTTGCAATAATACAGAGATAGACATTTTGTAATCTTTATTTTATTTTCTTCGAAAATGATGATTGGACTAGTTCTTTATCTTATTCTTAACAAACTGGATGGATGTTCTGATCTTAAACCAAATTATTTAGTGCATACAGTATGAAACCTACGTAAACATATATAATACTCAAATGTATAAACTGCTCAATTATGATTGCAGCGTGGATGATCAGATCAATGAACATTGAGATATTCGAGTTTCTTTTTCCGGTCAGCTTAATGGATAAAATACGATTTTAAAATGTGTGATATGTTTCTTTCTATGTGTCAAGTTGAGAAACCTGGTAAAACTTTCTGTCAAGTAATTGTAAATAAATGTATAAATTGTCAAATAATTGTACGGGTGTTTCATGATAAATAATAAATAACGTAAACTTTTTAAGTGACCGGCCAGCTTAATTGATATAGTCAATACTAAATATTTATGGGCTTTCTCTGTTCTCAAGTATAAAGTCCATTTGAGATTTTTGATTTGACCTTGACTGTGAGGTTTCATTATTTCTCGCCACAAATTCTCTACCTGTTAGATTTTTCATGCAATCATCAAAATCATTTAATACGAAGGGATCTGAGTACCAGCCCTGCTAGACTGGAAATTGTTTAGTGCATGCTGCGCGGAGCATGGAGGCTGCGTAAAAAATATTAGTTGAATACAGAAAGTATAAACGACCAGTTCTGCAAATACAACGGTTGGTCAGGTAGGGTTACGTACGGATGGTAGGCGGGGCCGGTACAGTTTGCATGCTAGCAAAAAAATTCTTTATGCAATGTGCCGTCGCCCGGCAGTATTCTTTGAACAACTTAGGTGTCAGGATTCTTCATAATCTCCTGATTGATTGTAGACATTTTATAATTTTAGAAATGATTTGATTTGTATTTCTTCTGAACAGTTCAACCGTGGCCATGTAATTAAAAAAAAATCTTTATGCAAATTGATAGATATATTTGAAAATCTAGAATAACTAGATTTTTCAATAATCCACCCAATTTAAGGGATATGGAGGAAAAAGCAGAAAAATTTTTATTGAATTCATTTTTTTACAAGACAAGGCGGTTAATTTGTAACTCCACGTATGTTAAAAATATAAAGAATATTTTTTTATTCAAAATTTGTAACTCCTACCTAAATTGAAAATAAAAACTATATTGATAGATAACTTTAAGCCAACATAAATATAGAACATGTTTTTTTAATTATTAATAGGTATTCTCATGTTGAAAACAATTCTATTAACATGTGGACATCTTTTTTCAATCAAGATTCAAATGTTCATTCATCATGTTGTGAAAAATTAATCTCTTTCACTAAATCCAATCCCATTTAGCAAAATAAAATTGTTTACTATTGTTGTAGTATCATAAATTTTATGAAGGCAATTTAAATTTAAAAATATAATTTAAATTTAAATTTTTTAAAAACATAACCATGAAAACTCTAGTTTACAAAAAAAAGTAACAAAAAATTAATTGTTTTAGCATCGGATGCCAATTATAAAACTGCTTATTACGGCAAAATAACAACAAAAATTGTTCGCCATGGCGAAAAATAAATAAATGAATGAAAAATTAATTTTTTTTCATATTATAATTTTGAAATTAAATTCTGATATTGATAATATAATGATATAATAATTGCAAACAAAAATACATATTATATGCAGGGAATATTGGTAAATTTCTTCGTTGTAGATACCAAACTATTTATGATTTGTATATAGAAGTAAGAATACAACACAGCGTCGCTTTGGCCGAGTGGTTAAGGCGTGTGCCTGCTAAGTACATGGGGTTTCCCCGCGAGAGTTCGAATCTCTCAGGCGACGTGTTTTATTTTTTTCCCCCCCTAAATGCAGCAGAGGAGGGGGCATCTGTCCTCGTAGAGAGCAAAGGCAAAGGCAAGCAAGACCCCCAAGGATAGCATTGGATGCCGCCTTCACAGACGCTTCTTAATTAATAACCACTCCCCCACCCTTTGTCCTCTCTTCCCTCAAACTTGTTCTTTTCTTCCATTATTGGTTTCTATCTCAAATCTCATATTAATGTTATTCCCTATATTATTACACTGATTCAATTTAATTAGAGTAGGTGTTTCCCACCTTTTTCGCCTTCTCTTTCATTTTGGGTAGGCTCACTCTGTCTGCTCTTCAAAATCCCGCTTTTTTCCATTCTCTCTTGCTTGAGTTAATCCTTCCTAAATTGACTTTTCATTAATTGCGTCTTTGTCCTGACTTGACATCTTTCGTTACAATCTGAGAATGCAAGGGTCCCACACTATCTCTTTGCTATAAATTGCTCTTTGCGTTCCGCTGTGTCATTCATCCCAATCAATCCGTTTCTTCGTCGTGTTATGTCCTCTTGCAGTTTTTTTTAGCATACTCCTGCATGTCTCAAAGGCCTCGCGTTTCCTCATTCCAATCTCATTTCCTGGTTTCCTCACGCATGAACCCCAATTCTAATTGCTCCTCCTCCTGTTTCTCCCATCAGAGCCTTGTTCGATCCATAGTTTAATTTTCTTTCTCCCGCATTAATTTTCTGACCTTTCTGTTTGGTTGCTGAGAAAATCGATTCCGGAATAATGGGTATCAAAGGTTTTGTTGAGGGAGGCATCGCTTCCATTGTTGCTGGATGCTCCACCCATCCTCTTGACCTCATCAAGGTACGAATGCAGCTTCATGGCGAAACCCACACTTCGACCGTTCATAACCTCCGACCCGCGCTCGTCTCTCATCCTGGCTCCGGCAGCGTCGCGCCACTTCCTTCCCGCACTGGTCCCATTTCGGTCGGCGTTCGCATCGTCAAACAAGAAGGCGTGGCCGCTCTTTACAACGGCGTCTCCGCCACCATCCTCCGCCAGAGTCTCTACTCCACCACCCGAATGGGACTGTACGATTATCTCAAGCATAAATGGTCCGATCACAACGCCAGAGGTAACATGTCGCTGTCGAGAAAGATCGTTGCCGGTTTGTTGGCGGGTGGTGTGGGCGCCGCTGTTGGGAATCCGGCGGACTTAGCCATGGTTCGCATGCAAGCTGACGGCCGTCTTCCGCCGGCTCAGCGGAGGAACTACAAGTCCGTGGTGGACGCCATTGCACGAACGGTGAAGCAAGAGGGAGTGGCTAGCCTTTGGAGAGGCTCGTCGCTTACGGTGAATCGAGCGATGCTGGTGACGGCGTCGCAGCTGGCGACGTATGACCAGATCAAGGAGGAGATATTGAAGAAAGGGGTGATGAACGATGGGCTAGGGACCCACGTGACTGCGAGCTTCGTGGCGGGATTCGTGGCGGCGGTGGTTACGAACCCGGTGGACGTGTTGAAGACAAGAGTGATGAACATGAAGGTGGACGAGGGTGGGAAGCCGCCGTACTCCGGCGCCATAGATTGCGCCTTGAAGACTGTGCGAGCAGAGGGTCCAATGGCGCTTTATAAAGGATTTATACCGACGATTTCGAGACAAGGACCCTTCACGGTGGTGCTCTTTGTGACGCTCGAAGAGGTTCGCAAGCTGCTGAAGGATTTCTGAGGGACGGAGGCGAAGCTGCCATGGACGACGACCCACACGGCTTACTTCGTTTAAAAATATTGAAAAGAAAAATTAACTATTTAGTTTTTTAAATAATTGTTCTGAGGCTTACCAATTTTTGCTCTATTACCTTGCTGCTTATAATTGAAACTTTGACAAATGATCTTTTTTTTTTTCAAGTTTTCAGGTTAAAAGTTAAATTACCTAAAAGTTTTTTTAACTAATTATTTGATAAATGTTCTCCTTAACACTGAGACTGATATAGCTTCTATTATTAATATATTATTTTCCTAATGATATGTTGGTTACGTTATTAGGTTGAGCAAGCTTATTAATCCTTTGTCCAACATTTTGTTGGTTTAAAAGTACGTTAATAAATTACATATAATTATCTAAATTTTGTGTTATGGATAGGTATTTCTATGAACTTTTAAAACTTCACAATAATTTTTAAAATTAATTTATGGAGAGGACTCTTACTTAATGGATTAATCTATTATTTTATTAACAAACTTGAATTCATGAAAATCATTTATGGATTTATAAAATAAAAAATATCTATAGAAAGAACGCATCCTTTGAAGTGGTATTGCAAATTACAAAATAAAATAAAAATAAAAGATAAGCAAGTGAAGTAGACACACGATTCGTAAAAGTTGTGAATTATCAATATCGGGTTCTTGTCAGATTTTCTTATGGAAAAATGTACGTGTGACGCGATCCATGCAGATATTCTGATATAGAGAATAGTAAATTTAAATTAACTAAATTACCAAACTCTAGTCAAACTTGTTTTTTCTAATAAATGAAAAAAAAAAAGGTTATCCTTTACGAGCAGACAGGATTATTTAGGAAAAAATTAGGGAAAAAACGGTTAAGTCTAAAAAAATAATAGTTTAGTTCCTGACAAAATTTTAAAAAAAATTATAAATATCAATTTAATCGATTATAAATTTAAAAATTTTAATTGTAAATACGATACTTAAATTATGAATATGACAATTAATTTATAATTTGAATTACTGTTTATAATTATTTAAATTAATATTTATATTTTATTTTACAGCATATTTTATTATGAGGTTAACTGTCATTAATTTATTATTTTAAAATTTTATTATCATTTTTTCAAAAAATTACTTCCCTTCAAGAATTAATAACTTAAGATACATGAGTCAAAATGTCAAATAACAAGCATCTGATGAAGACATCAAATTTGCCGACATAGTAAGCAACCTCTTGCTTCTCCCTGTATCTCCCTGCATTCATCAATTTGTCGATATAACAAAAGTTTCATTTTTACGACAACGCCGATGACATAAGAGAACATCGCTCTGACAAAAAAACGAAGTGGATATGAAGTCTAATAACCATATTCATTCGCAGTACAGAGGCAAAGAAACGAGTAAGATGCTAAAAGAATAATAAAGAAAGAATCAGTGCCCCACACGGAGAACCCTTTTTCCATGAAACTGTTAACCGTTCATTTTCTTGCTTTACCTCGTTTTTCTCATGTTGACACTCACTTTCCTCCTCCTAAACCTAACCTGCCTTCCAATATTCTTCTTCATGAACTTGTACTAAGTCCTTTCGATCTCTAATAGCAATCTAGTAACTCATCATTCATCCAATGTTCTGGAGAATTCTAGGCTTTGGTTCAAGCATAGTTGCATTTACCTGTTTTGCCCTGAGTCCCTCTTTCCATGAACTGTTTGGCAGGTGGAATCTGTTCACAAGCGCCATCTATAGCGTCGCTAGTTTAAGCCTAACCACCTTGATGCTATTTGTTGGGAAATGCAGGGAATTTACAAGATCAGTTCTGGTGAAAGCACATGTGGGTTTTCTGGTTTTGATGCTAACCTCCCTCTGTTCCATTTGGCAAGACCTGGTTAGCCAAGAAGAAAACGATGAAAAGGGATTGCGTGGGAAAATCCTAAACCTGTGTTCGTTTGGGGCATTTGCTTTGATGTCACTCAGCTTGTCAAGACAGCTAAAGCTTGGATTCGAAGTGGGTATCTTCAATTTCTTATTTGGAAGTTTTTTGGTGTTGCTGATGAAAATGAACTTCAAATTGGCCCCACTTGCGGTATTATTGTGTTACGTGCTTATGCATATACGATCCATCTCAGATTTTCTGATGGAAATGCGTGGGCGTCTTGACTCTGGTGATACAGTACCTGACAATGTAGAGAGTGGTTACCACAGTATTGATTTGCAACGAATGGGTAAGACTGAATTCGATTCTTACAGCTATTCGTTTTTCTTCTCATGGTTCTGTTAAATATGATTCATAAGTTTAAAAGGCAAACACTTAACCCTTAACATACTAGTCTTTCCCGATGGGTTCTCCCATTGAAGTTATGCTCGTAATGCTAGTGCTTTCATCAAGCACTTAAAGGAGGTCGATGTCACAGACACAAAGGATTCAAATTTAGACTTGTGCTCTTAACAAGTTCCTTCACAGATTTTTTTTTTTTTTTTAATGTCATCTATTTGATACCACTAGACTACTAGTTATATAAAACTGACCTTGAATGAACAAGAGCAGGACTCTTAGATAAGATCTTCTTGACTTTTTGTGCCTTCAAATGTTATATAGATACAGCATCGTTCATCATTTTAAGCAGATGTTCCGGAACATCCTATGCACAAAAATCTATTAAAAGAGCATGCTGAAAGGTCCCACATTCCACCTCCTACTTATCAAGCTGTGAATATTGGACTTGCACATGCCCCTAAATTTAGGTCAGCAGTGTGGGTTGGTGGAAAGAGCTATACTTCAGAAAACGTTTTTCCTAATCGAAGAGCTGCTGAACAAGATGTAGCAAAACTTGCTTTTAAGCACATAACAACAGGAGTCAAAGATGAAGGGCTTTCTCTGATTCTTGAGGTTTGTTGGCATAGGATTGTTCTTTCTTGCTTTTATCATTTATATAATGCCATAACATAGGTAGTCCATACGACAATGTGCAGAAACCAAGTTGTACCATACATTCTAAGGATTGCTTCTGTTATTTGCATGATTGGATGGTTTTGTTAATGATGTTTGTTTAGCGCAAGTTGTATTTCAGGTTATTGGTTAACAATACTCTCTGGCGTTGCATTTAATATCATGAATCCTCATTACTTATCCTTATGATCATATTCCAGGGACCAACTTCTTTCAAGTCTATCTTAAATGACTATGCTAGGAGGATGAATCTAGAAATTAGATACGTCGACCCCGTTCCACAAGAAGGGCTTTCTGGTTTTTTGTCGTCTTTGATTTTCAATGGTAAACGCTATATTGGTGACCCAGCAAAGAATAAAAAGGACGCTGAGCAATCCGCAGCATGTGCTGCTGTTCTTTCAAATCTAGAAAGCTTTTCTTTTTAGTAAGTACTTATTTCCATATCTTGTATAAATTATATATATATATATATATATATAACCATGAGGCGGTCAATTCATAATTTATTTTTTTTAATGCAGGCAATTCTGGATCTGGTGCTTCTCTCTGAGATAATGAAATCATAATTCAAGTTGTGTGTTTAAGTCTTCACAACACCTTACAGCTGTATCACCTAAAGTAAAAGACTCTAAGCTTCCAAAAGAAGAATAAAGAGGCTAAAGAGAAGTCTCGGAGTAAAGCTATGTTAAGCACCTTGATATATGAACCTGTGTCTTACTGCCTTTTTTAATCATCTGCGCCATATTTTCTCAACTGGACCTTCTGTGAAGAAAAGCACGGACAAAAAAAAAAACGAGGATTGCAAGATGAAACTAACTCAAGGAGCTGTGTTTCAGAAATTTAAACAGAGAACAGAATAGCTGAGATTTCGAGGGAAAATGTCCAGAGACGATTATGCGCGACATACGTATTGCAGTTTGTCGTTTGAATTTATTCTATTGTTCACCTATGTCCATGTTTGAATCTGTGTAAGGGTGTGCCAGGGTAAGATGTGTGTCAACAAATAAGACCTGGAGAAAATAATATCTATTGTAAAGGATCTTAAAAATGGTTATTATTTAGAGAGACCAAATATCAAAATATAAATTTAAAAATACTATGTTGTCCCTAATTATATCTCTTACATTTTTTCAAACCATATCTCATACATTATATTTGAGAGTTACTACCAAAAATACATTATTTGAGAGAAATATTTTTTATATAACAAGGAGATGAAAAATAGCAAACTAGGGCGAAGCTAAATTCATATCCAACAACCCGTGGCAAGTTATTAATTTCATCTCTCTAATAGTGTAATTAAGTAGATAGCTACAACTAAGTTAACTTAACTAAACTCAGTTATGCTTAACCATACACGTGTATGTATGTCTATGTACTCTTCAGTGATAAGACAACTCATCATATTCTCTCATATTCATTTTCTTTCTCTCTTTCTTCATATGGTATCAAGGCAAGTTGTGGAGAAGGAGAAGTTGAAGAAGATTGACTATCAGAGGAAGAAACACCAACTGAACTAGCAGACTGTATCCAAGTGTAGGAGAATGCAGAGAATTAAGAATAGAATTATCATTGTTCATGGCAGCATTAGAAGCAACTGTAGGTAACCTGTAAGCATCATCATCTACAGATATAGTATGGTTAGTAGCATTGCACTGACTTGACAAAGGAAGGACAGGAGGAGAGGGACTGAAAATGACAGGGGAAGTAGTGGAATTTTGGACAGACACAGAAGACATAAAATTAGATTTGGAATAAGGGAACTCATATTTGTTGAAAATAACATCTCTTGAAATATACAACCTTCTTTCCTTAGGATCCCAACACCTATAGCCTTTGTGAAAAGTACTATATCCGATAAAAATACAAGAAACTGAACAAAACTACATTTTGTTTTTGTTATAAGGCCAAGAATAAGGAAAACAGGTGCATCCAAAAGTTCTAAGATGCTGAAAACTAGGAACTTGCCCAAATAGTTTGAAGAATGGGGAATCACTATTAAGCACCTTGGTAAGTAGTCCATTAAACAGATAGACACCAATACTAAACGCATTAACCTGGAAATGAAAGGGAAGAGAAGCATTGGCTAGAAGAGTCAACCCTATTTCAACAATAGTGCGATGCTTCTCTTAGCAAGACCATTCTGCTCATGAGTGTAAGGACAACTAAGACGATGAATGATGCCATGATCTTTGAGAAACTTACCTATTTTAAGATACTCAACACCATTATCAGACTGGAACATTTTGATTTTACAATCAAGTTGAAATTCTATCAACCTTTTGAATTCAAGAAATACATCATATACATCAGACTTTTTCTTCAATGGATAAAACCTTGTAAATCTGGAGAAGGCATCAGTAAAATGCACATAATAGATATAACCATCAAGAGAAGAATATAGTACAGGTCCCCAAATATCCAAATAAATGAGTTCAAGAGGGTGAGAGTACTAAGTTTAAGACAAGGAGTAAGGTAGTTTATGTGCTTTACCAAGACAACAGGAATTGCAAAAATCAAAGACAGATTTCTTATTATTGATTGAAAGATTACAAGATTTCATAACAAGAGAAACAGTAGAAGATGAAGGATGACCTAATATGTTATGCCAAAGGCTAAAATTAGAATTAGATATATTACACTAAGAAATATTACTAGAATTTGAAATAGAGGAAACTGAATTATAAGCAAATTGTTGAGAAGACTTCTAAGAAGACAAGGAAGAGTATAACATTTAGGAAAATTTAATCCTGATTTATTAACCTAATGAGGGTAATTAGTAAGTTATTGAGGTGTGTGACTAGAAGGGCTTAACTTGGTGTATTTGTGGTGATTTCAACCTTAGAAGTGGTTCCAGATCAATGGTGATCCACTCGGGTAAGGAAAGAAGCATAAAAAGTGAAGAATTCTCCTTTGTGGCACATGCCACATCACATGGTCAGTCCGCTACGGCGCACAGAGATGAATTTGAATGCAACAGGCTCCTCTATGTCATGCCCTGCGGTGGAGGGCAGCGTGCCCACAGTGCACTGGAAAAAATCTAATAAATCAAATACATTTTGCATGCGAAAACAGAAGAGGAGGAGAGAAAAAAGAAGAGCTTGACTTAGGCTCTGCTAGGGCATGGCATTGGCTTCTATTGTTGATGTTTTGAAGCTCCTAAAAATCCAAGGTAAGTTTTGAAACTTCCCTGAGGTTAAATCATACTTAACTCCAAATTATAGTAATCCAGGACTTAACTCACAAGGATTACCAAACTATAGGGTTTATAAATGGATTTCTCAAAATCTATTTCAAAGGAATCCCAATTTGCTATTTCAAATCTTAAATATAATATAAGGATTCCAAATCAAAGTTTTGAAAACAAAGCGGAAGCTTGAAAATCAGTTTGGACTCAAATAATGAGTTTTAAAACTCAAAATAGATTTTTACACTAAATTTGACACGTGCACCACGGCTTATAGTTCATGCACCGCGGCGTGTCTTCTCTATACCATGCGCTTCAGCGCATTGCATGAAATTTGATAGATCAGTGCTGTCATTTGACAGCACAAGGAGCGAACTTCCGACGCATGCTAAATCTCCGTCTGACGTCTAATTGAAGTGGTTTTGGTGTCTACACAGAGCTTTCTCCTAGCTCTAACTTATGGCATTGTTCATGCTCAAATTCATTTTCTATCAAAAGTTGGACACTAAAATCCATTGTGATACATTTTCACAAAATTTCTCGAATAGGGTGTCCCAACTCAACCACACGTGCCAATAGCCTACACCAACCCTCCTATCACACTCAATGGACTCTTGCAGACTCATGCAACACACCACACACAATCAAACACACTTATTTTACAAAATCACCTCTCAACCCCAATTTTCACAAAACATAGAGGGGGAGGAAAAGTTGCACCAAATCAATCATTTCATTCATATTTCTCAAAAATACATATGTTTCTACTTGCACAAGTATTTTGGCCATATCCTCGGGTTCACAACAAAAACTCACTGACCCAGGGCATAAAATACACTAGTTAAACACAAAATCATGCAAGTAGTACACCAATCATGACAATTTGTCCTAGTTGGCAATTACATTAGCAAATATACATGTAAACTACTAAAGAGAGACATTAAGAGGATTTATTCTACAAATCCTAAGTCTCTGTGTATTTTTCCCAACTCGAATCCAATGAGCTAGTCCCTGAAAATATTGAGAATTGAGGGGTGAGTACAACCACTTAGTAATCAGGTTTCACTTAACCCTTACAGTTACATATTAATTGTAAATAGATGTAAATAGACACATAACACACATGTCACATAGTATTGGGCCACGGTTTACAAAACTAACAACCATGTAATTGGGCTTGTCACAAAATACTATATCATATTGTTTTCAAAAACATAACTCAAGGTTGCAAAAATAACAACCATGCACTTTTCATACGTGCCAGACCACAAAACTAACAACTATGTAGTCGGACTTATATGCATGATCATGTGCCATCCTTATATCTTCCTGTTACCTCCGATATAAAATCGGTGGCTATCACGAGGCTACGTCCTTCACAGACTAACCCAGCCTTCCACTTGTGAGGATCTACCTGGCCAAGGTTAACTCACTCACTTATGTAATCCGGTTTCCCCCAATACTAACAACCATGGGGTGTCGTAACCCTAATCTAGCCTCCTCATGAACCAGTGGAGACTAGTTAGGTTTGAGTCCCTCATAGAACAATCATGGAATAAGGGCTACCTCCTAATTCCAATGGTCGATGCCAAGGCTAGTTCTCGATTTCAACGGTCACTGCCAATACCATGTGAATTTCCAATCAACTACTCCTCTCCCTAGGTGAACTCCCACCAATGATCATACATGCACATTTCATACACAATATGCATTTTAACAATCATTCCTCAACACATGAATTCACATAACACATATGCTCCACATTTTAACACATAATTCATCATAATTCTCCACCCATAGTAATAAATCTTAATTAATTTCACAAAATATCAAGGGTGGTAGAATCAAGGTTTTCTTTCTCAAAACCATTTCATACTCAAGCATTTGTCAATATGCATCATCAAATTAACTCACAAATCACATTTCACAAACAATTAACATTCAACTATAAAAATTAAGTTTTTCCCTATTACCTCAAACCTTTGAGAAGTCAAAGGTTTGAATGGTGCCAAAATGAACCTCTATTCATCCAAACAACAAGAACATCATCACCAGCTAGCTCTTGAAACTTTATCAACATAAACTCCACATACACTACTATATCATCACATAATTACTACCCATTCATACCCAATGGGCTCATTAGATTCCATTAATGCACATTATTATTAATAACACCTTAAACCATCATTAATACCTCTCCTAACTACCTCATAAATACTAATTTTTGGATATTAAATGCTCCTATAGACCAACCACTTTTAAAATCATCAATGTGGTGTTTCAATACATTAAATCACTCCTGTTAATGTTATTTTAACCAATAGAATTGGACCTATACTCTTATGGACTGAAAATCCATCTCTCAACTCAAACCCTACCATAAATAATTATAAATAAGAGAAGAAAGGAAAGAAGGAAGCATCATAATCTTACCTTGGGTATTTGAGAGCTTCAATCTATCCACAATGGGGTCAAATATCGTGCCCTAATAGAGCCAAAACTAAGCTCTTTGATTTCCTCCTCTTTCTCTCTTCTGTTTTCACACTACTCACGAGCTGAATTATCAGATTTTTGGCCGTGCGCCACTGTGCATGATGCCTTCCACTGTGGAACATGGCACAGAGGAGCCCATTACATTCAAATTGTGTCTGTGTGCTGTGGTGGACCAACCACACGCTGCGACGTGTGGCACAGAACACAACTCTTCACTTTTTCATGCTCTTTCCCTGCCCGAGTGGCCCGCCATCAATCCGGACCCATTTCTATGACTGAAAT